TCAAGTTTAAACAATACTAAACACTCACTCCAGCATACGGGGTTTATTGGGTTAGCCAATGCATCCAAGAAAATTGCGTCCCAGCGGACTTTCTCTGTCTACCAAGCCTCTGCTACACATTACATTTATTGCTCCCATATTTACTGCACAGTAAAGTATCCTCATCTAAATTTGCTCTACAAGAGTCTCTGTGATGAAGTCAGACCCAAGTAAATGCTGATTGCCTCAAATTGGAGCTTCATGGATATCACCATACCCATTGTTTACATGTTTATTTTTGGGGGGAACTAATGCTTCTGCTTATATTCCTTTCCTTTCTGTAGTCACCAACTATTTAATTGACGTTGGGTGGGAGATCACATGAAATGGAAGTTTCTGGTTTCTTTGAAGACTGAGTTTGTTATGTGATATTTTGCCAGGGCTGGCCTGTAAGAGGGTATGTGATGTTTTGCTGTGGGCTCTCACATGTGAGAGGCATGGCTTGGCCAGCTGAGAACATCCATGGTGGACTCTGAGGAGAGGACATATTTAGAGGCTCACGAGCAGCAAGACATCGCTTTTTGGATTAACATTGCTCACTGATCTTCGTGCCTTGACGCTTGACTCCGCAGAGAGAAATGTTCCAGAGAGCTTCTCCAGGCAATCTGACTGAGTCCTGCAGCGTTTATTGACTTCATGTTGATGCTTGGTGTTGGCCTTTGGACTGGACTGCTGGCATTCTAACTACTGAGTCTGATAAAAGCCTAAAGACACATTGGCCCTTATCAGCAGGAAGTGGATAAAAGAGGTCTATAGCTCTTTTCCCTACTAATCTCCTACCTAGGGTTGCCTGGGGCTGGGAGGGAGGCAAAGGTGCTTAAGAACCCTAAATAAAAAAGATTTGATGAAAAATCTAAGCCTACATGTGGTGCCCAATGTTACATCCATTCATTCATCACATAAATAGATATAGCTCTCAACTTTCTATTTTCTAGTTTTATAACGGTACAAAAATGATAAGCATTCATCCCAAGCCATATAGTTTTGAATTTTGATCTTTTCTAAGTCAGTGTGATAGCATTCTCTTGTAAGTGCTGGGCATTGTCACTGAAGTGTGATTTGAGGATAACCATGTGCTCACGAAAGGACAATGCTGAAATCTACAGTGCACTTTGCTAGTAATTCAATAAAACCTTTTGTGACTTGCAACATCTTTAATTTACAAGAGGTTTATTGGCTATCAAATCATCATAAATTGATGGTTTATATACTATTCCAGATGCTCTTCTAAGTGTTATCAAAAGAGAGAATGTGATACAACCACCTTGGGGTAATACATATTAAGTAGAGTGTAACATAAATATTATTGACAGAGTGTTGTAGTTTAAAGCTAAGGTGTGTTAGGCACACAGTGGGAAGTCCTTCCAGGTGTAGGGACTCAGAAAATACCTCCCTGATGCAAATCAACAACCAGAAGAATTGGTTAAAAGTGGAAGTACATGTGTGTCTTCCTCTATTGTTCTTTACCTCAATTGTTGGGTCTCTCAGTACACCTGGAGCCATTATTTTGGCTATACTGACTGAGCAGTAAAGCCCCAGCATCCACCTTTCTCCATCCCACTAGATCTGGGATTACAGATGTACACCTCCACACTTGGCCTTTATATGAGCATAAAGATGCAAACTCAGGTCCTGGAACTTGTTTAGCAAACACTTTACCCACCAAACCCCTTTCTCTGCTCAACTGAATGTATTTCAAAATTTGTACAATTTTCAGTTTAAGATTGTTCACTGTTATGCAACTCCATAAAAAAATCAAGAAGTGGGGCTACAGAGATGGCTCAGTGGTTAAGGGTACTGACTGCTCTTCCAGAGGACAGGATTCAATTCCAAGAACTCACATGGCAGCTCACAACTCTCATTAACTCCACAATCTGACACCCTCACACAGACATACATGCAGGCAAAACACCAATGCACATAAAATAAAGAATATATATATATATGTATATATATTTAAAATCCAAGAAGTGTCTCCATTACACTCCTCACTTAAACACATTTTTCTAAGAGTATTCTTCATCTTTAAATAGTCAAGGTCTTCACTCTAGAAATATTTGCTTTCAGATGTTCAGAATGGCTGATTAAAGTACCCTGTGTCATTTCTATTTACTTAACTTCCTTTTCTTCCCCAGCATTGCTTCCGTGTTGTGCTTGTCTTCTGTGGTTTCTTATCTAACTCCACGAGGAATAAGCTGTATGCTCCCAGTTCAGATGGCTGAAGTGGCCTTAGCCCCTGTGGCCATTGTGGAGAGAAGGGATGGGGTGGAGCTTAGGGCATGAAAATTCCCCTCAGCATCTCTGAGAAGCTGCTCTAAATAGTGCAACCAGCTTTCATAAATAGCAATGTGGAGCTGCTCTGGTAGCTGCTGATGTTGGCTCGGAATGAGGAATATTGCAGAAGAGATGGTGGTGTGTGTGGAGACATGGGTGTCTAATACAGGCAGAAGGACGCCTTCCAGTAGGATTACTGCAAGCCTGATATGCAAAACTTAGATTCTGTCAGCTTCTCAGAGTCAGGAACACTTCCACTTTCTGTTGGGTCTTCCATCTTCCAGTATGAGCTGTATAGTGAACATTTAGAAAACAAATATTATCAAGGTAAAGAGTCTTGAATTATATGTATACTTCATCATTGTCTATATGAGTCAGAATCTAGGAAGGTCTCAGCAAGTTTGTTATCAGCTACAGTGCAGCCTCCATACAAAAGTCTGCTGTCCATACAGGTGTCAGATGACTGAGGCACAGATATCCTGGCTCCTTGGTTGCTCTCCCCACCCTACCTTACATGTCAGTGCCATCTTGCCTCTTAGGCAGGATCAGATCATCTCTTCCATCGCTCAAGCCACCACATTCCTCTGGAGTTTCTAGACAGTATATTAATAGAATTCTTTACCATTGTTTTATTGTTCCAGGAAAATAATTTCATAACCAATTTAAAATGATAAAGATAACTTTGCATAAGAGAATTTATTTCTTTAAGCTTACTATCATCTAGCCAAGGTAAGTTTCTATAGTCTGAACAATAGGAAAGGATAAATATGTTTTTATTTGGATTTATATGTGAGGTTGCATTATTTCTAATTCAATTTCTACCTTTTAGATCTTCCCTGTTTTGCTTTACCTTATTAGCATTAATTTTGGTGCTAATTTCCAGATATTTCTTACACAAAAATAATGTGCCTAGTGCCACATTTGATGACATTTGAAAAATTTGCCATTCCAGAGTAAATAGTCAGTATGTTTGTTAATAAAAAGTAGATATAGATTCTCTGCTTTAAGGAAGGTGTTAGAGAAAAGCAGGATGTGGGTTGGGTGGTGGTTCCTGGGTTGCCGTTTGCTAGAGAGCCTGTCTTTGGAAGACATCTGTGTGATGGTCTGTGCTGGGACAAAGCATGTGTCGATTATCCCTGTCTTTTATGGGTTTCCATTCTGAAGCAAAGTAGATCAACTCACAAAAACTCCTGAAAGGGAGAGATATTTTTACTGTAATTTTCAATGGGAACCAGATAAAATACGTTCCCATATGCCGTCTACAAGTAAGAGATGGCATTGAATTAGCATCAAGATTACCTTGAGGTATTATCAAAGCGAAAGGACAAGTGCCCTTCAGGACTGTCTCACGCTGTGCCCAGTAGCTTTTGGGTGACACGTGGTTTATATTACATTTTTGCTCTAGACTTTACAGCGCTGGGAAGCCTGTGTAGGGTGATCATATAGTGGGCAAAACAGAAAGTAAATGAGTTTCTTTCTACCTCCAAGATGCCTTCGGCTACTCACACTTCCCCCTTGCCTTAGAGAAAGTCACTGCTATTCTACAGATAAGGAAGGGAAGCTGAGCATAGGAGACTTCAGCCCTCATCAGGAGCACTCAGTGTGCAGTTAAATTTCCAAGTGTGGGCTTTCTCAGAGCATTAAAAGTATAGTTTTATTGGGGCATATCCATCTAGTCTCAGAGAATAGCCCTGGTGTGGAAATCAAGTAAACCTTCAGTTCGTTAAATGTTTCGTAGGTCAGTTATTGCTTATGAGGCCAGCAACTAATGGGGAGCTGCTTAATGACTGTGGGAGAATTCACGGGAGTCAGTGACTACTATCCAAAAGCTGCTCCTGAAATCTCTTGTTCTCATTTTACCCATTGTCTGGGACATTAGAGGATGTCTTTGTCATATCTTATCACTGAGTCTGTTTTTTTTATGTCATCAAATGTCTCCAAAGAAGTCACCAGATACAGTCTAGTGATTCGCTGGGGTCTGGCTTCTGACTTTCCTGTGATAACTTCTCTTGGAAGAAGGAAAGTCCAGTGAAGTCTTCATGGCTGGTCAGCTTGAAGGCCTGAATATTTTGTTTCAGGGAAAGGAAAATCTAATAGGGAGAGATTACAGACTTCATGTTTTCACTACTGTGACTAAGAAAAAGTAGCTGTACTAACTTACTAACTATGCCTTTGCCCTTTGCTGTGTGGAATTAAACAACAATGGCATTTCATTTTAAGAATGCTGATAATATGATTTATTTATCAAGTTAGGCATAAAGAATTAAAAAGCAGCATAAACTGTTATTATCCAAATAAAACCAGGAAATACAGCTTTCTGTCAGTTCTTAGAGGCCATTTAGAGGACGGACGTACACGTGGGACAAGGCCAGATAAGCTCTTGTGATTTTAAAATTATTTATTTATTGTATGTGTGGGGCTGAGAAGTGTCCCAGGCAAGCCACGGCACATGTGTGAAAGATAAAGGAGAACCTGTGGGAGTCAGTTCTCTTCTTCCGCCATGTTGGTCCAGGGATTGAACTCAGGTAACCAGTTTGTCAGCAAGCGCTTTTACCTTCTGAGCCAACTCCTAGGCCCCCCTACTACATTTTATTGATTATCTGGGAAATATACTACCTCCTTGTGGATATTCATAGTGTGTGGATGATTTATATTTTATCTAGCCCCAAGGTTTTCTGGTGTCAGCCATGATCAGAAGGCAATACATGGAAGCACAAAGCAACACTTCCTCTATCCTGGTCTCTGACTTCCTCCTCATCTGCTTCCCTAACTATCAGACCTGGCAGCACTGGCTGTCCCTGCCCCTCAGCCTCCTCTTCCTCCTGGCCATGGGGGCCAATGCCACCCTTCTCATCACCATCAGGATGGAGGCCTCTTTGCACGAGCCCATGTACTACCTGCTCGGCCTTCTCTCCCTGCTGGACCTTGTGCTCTGCCTCACTGTCATACCTAAGGTCCTGGCCATCTTCTGGTTTGACAACAGGTCCATCAGCTTCTCTGCCTGCTTCCTCCAGATGTTCGTCATGAACAGTTTCCTGACAATGGAGTCCTGCACCTTCATGGTCATGGCCTATGACCGCTATGTGGCTATCTGCAAGCCTCTGCAGTACCCATCCATCATCACTGACCAGTTTGTGGTTAGGGCTGCCATCTTTGTGGCAGCCCGAAATGGAATTCTTACTATGCCGATCCCCATACTTTCTTCTCAACTGAGATATTGTGCACGAATTATCAAGAACTGCATCTGCACTAACATGTCTGTATCCAAACTCTCTTGTGATGACATCACCTTTAACAAACTCTACCAGTTTGTCATAGGCTGGACCCTGCTTGGCTCTGACCTCATCCTCATAGTTATCTCCTACTCTTTTATCTTCAGTGTTGTGCTCAGGATCAAAGCTGAGGGAGCTGTGGCGAAGGCCCTCAGCACCTGTGGCTCCCACTTCATCCTCATCCTCTTCTTCAGCACAGTCCTGCTGGTGCTGGTCATCACTAACCTGGCCAGGGAGAGGATTCCCCCGGATGTCCCCATCCTGCTCAACATCCTGCATCACCTCATCCCCCCAGCTCTGAACCCCATTGTGTATGGGGTGAGAACCAGGGAGATCAAGCAGGGAATCCGAAACCTGCTTAGGCGGTTATAAGAAATAAGATGAGTCATGGCCTGGGGACAGATACTGTTAATCGGAAACAGTGTCTGTGTTGCACAGAACATTTAAACATTGACTGTAAGAATAAGTATGGGTATCTGCTCCTCAAACTTCCACTGACACAATGTGAATGGTTCTCTACAGACCCATCTAGAGATCTGCAGCAGTCACATATGGTTGACATATGTGGCTTGACACACAAACTTGACATAAAGCATACGCAATCGGACTGGTTCTTAAATTGCATTAAAGATTCATACATGCACGCAAGGTGTTTATATTACATCACCCCTTCTAACTGAGCCCCCCATCAGCCTGTTCCCAACGTCATGTCTTTTTTTTCCCCTCAAAGCTCAAGTAATCCGATCAGAAAGAAAAACTTGGGGAATGGGTGGGCTGTCTGAAAAACTGTTTAGTCGATAAGATTGGCGTGGGGCTGGAGGCTGAGTATAGGACTTTGCACAGGGAAGCAAGTGCTCCATCAGCTACATCACATCCTAAGCATACGTCTTGAAAGGCACTCACGTTTCTAAGTCCCTTAAAACCTTCAGTGCACACGTGTAACTTTTAATTGTTAAGTAATCGTGTTGAAATAGGACCTGATGGAGTGAAGCTGAGTTCTATGAGACAGTAAAGCCACCACAGATATGAGGAGAATAAGAGCTGAGAGCTGAGCTGCCTGGGTTAGGCTTGGTTCCTGGCTTCTGTTGCACCCAAACCCTGAGGGTTTTGCATTGTGGCGTAATTTGAAAACTTCCATGGCCTCATCTATGTGAGAAGGACTTGCTATATTTTTCATATAATGTATAGATGTAATTTCAATAGTTTCAGCGCTTTCCTGCTTGTTAAATTGTTTGTGTGTACTTACATGTCAGATCTCCTGATTCTCCCTAATGCTGCTCATTCCTGTTTGCTGCTGTGAATGATGCCCTGACAGATCTTACTAACATTTTATTTGTTTATTGTTTAGTTGAACCAAACATTTATTTTGAAATTATGTCATATAGAAGTAAAGAGTGAATTAACATTACAGAACTAATTTGATTTTATTATTTTACATCAAACTTAACTTTGATTTTATTTCATTTTTTCTTTTTGTTGAAAATAGATTATTTTCACACAGTGGAGTCTGATTAGTCTCCTCTCTCCCCACCTTTCTTGGTTCCTTTCCTCTTCCCCTTCCATCCAGATTTACTCCCTTTCTGCCTCATTTTAAACAATAATCATCTAAGGAATAAAACCAAAACAAAATAACACAATATAAAACAAAAACAATTCAAACAGGAGAAAATAAGTGACTGGAAGAATAAGGGCAGAGGAAGCAGCATAAGAAAAATGTATAGACACAGAGATACATATGTTCTCAGACACAGGAAGCCCGTAAGACCACAAGACAAAGGACCTGTGGAGTTAAAAGCGATGTCACGGCACAACAGGTCGTGCTGGGCACACAGCCTATCTTAAGAGTGTCTTGTCTCCCCAGTGAGACTCCGCTAGATCGCGTTTTCAGTGGTTATCGCTTGGAGAGAGCTCCTGGGTTAGGGGAGGATGCCTGTGTTCCTTGCTCCTCTCACCTTGAGGACTCAGTGTGCTGCAGACTCCTGCGGGCCCTGTGTCTGCAGTGCCTCAGCCTCTGTGAGCTCATCTGAGCATCCAGTGCTGTTCAGTTAGTTTAGTTTCCTTGCTATCCTCCACCCTCGATGGCTTTTACACTTTTTCCATTTCCTCTTCCACAGGGTTCTTTGGGCCCTGAGGAGAAGGATTTGACAGAAACATCGTTTTTTGAACTGTTTTATCAATGTCTGACTTCATGTCATCCTCTCTGACTTTTCCATCAGATTTAAGTCACCATCTGTTCCCTCCCCCCCTTTTTTTTACTTGTTGTCTTGGATATATACATTTTTTTCTCTCTCTACGTTAAGACCAGCTTGTCAGTCACACAGCTGCAAGATCCAGGCATCTGAGTTGGTAGACTTTGCTAAACATGGATTCTAATACCTACAATCCAGGTCATACTCATACTGCAAGTGTTAGTGATGGCTTGATAGGTATTTCCAAGGATTAACTTATCAGAAGCCAGACCTCTTTTGGACAAGTAACTGAGAACTTCCTGTGTGTTATTTCTAAGGGTCACTTGAAATGCCTTTTGACACACTGATCTAGGATAATCTAACTGTTCTAAGGAGATTTGTAAATAAATTTAACATTTATATAATATTTCCTCTCATCTAAAATAGCTTTGATTTTCTTTCTGTTTCATAACATCAAAGTTTGATTCTAACCAAAAGATAGAATGCTTCAAACAATCTTCTATCATCCCTCCCTTCACACTCAGCTGTCGGTTCAGTTTTTTCTGAGATTATATCCCCCACTTACTGATAATCTTGCTTTAAGCGTATTCTCCTTTTAAAAACCTGACTCCACTTTGTTCACTTACAGACCATGCCTACCTTTCAGGCCTCTGTTATCCACGCACAATGCTGTCCTTCACTCACCAATGGAGTTAACTTGCCCCTCAGCCACGGGCCCATCCCTAAGCTCTGCCATGCGAAGTGCATTATTAATCTTCTCAACTTTACATAGTTTAGAGAAGCTGAAATAAAATGTTTTATGTGTTGCGGGTCTTTTCCTGGATAAAAGTGATTAAAACATCACATCTTGTTTCTTATTTCCTTTGACTGTTTCCTAGGGAAAGACTCATTATTTATATAATATATTAAAAAAAAAAAGCACCAAACAAAAGAAAAGAGAACAAAACTCCCATAACGTTCAGCTCAATGCAACCTCATATGTCACAGAACCCGAGACTTCTTCCCTTGGAAGGACACTGAATTTTTTGTAAACTCTGACATCTTTGATCTCAACTTAAGCTCTGGTTTTCTCATCTAAGAGGAAAACATTTACCTTCTTATCATATGATTGAAGGTCCTAGAAGACTTAATTCATGAGGTGATTCTCAACCAGACCTCAAATATGCAATTATCTTCTAAATGCAAACTCCTGGCTTCACTTTCATTTGCTTCTTAGATTCAAGTGCTGCTGATCTTTGTTTTCTAACACACTGCCTCACAGGACATAGGCCTGCCTGCCTGCCTGCCTGCTGTGCCTGCCTGCCTGCCTGCCTGCCTGCTGTGCCTGCCTGCTGTGCCTGCCTGCTGTGCCTGCCTGCCTGCCTGCCTGCTGTGCCTGCCTGCTGTGCCTGCTGTGCCTGCCTGCCTGCCTGCCTGCCTGCTGTGCCTGCTGTGCCTGCCTGCCTGCCTGCCTGCCTGCTGTGCCATTCATGGCCTCTAGTAGAGTTTCTTTCACTGGGTCATCATCATCTTCTTTTTTTTTTTTAAATTTTCTTTCTTTCTTTCTTTCTTTCTTTCTTTCTTTCTTTCTTTCTTACCATTTATTCACTTTGTATCCCCACTGCAGCCCCCTCCCTCTTCTCCTCCCAGTCCCACCCATTTGTGACAGAAGAGACAGGGATTTGGCAGTCCGTGTCCCGGGTATTTAGTGTATGGGTGGGTGTGGAGCAGCAGTAACTGGAGAGGACGGGAACTCCACAAGGAGAGCAACAAAACCAGAAATTGAACACAGGGGTCTTCCCAGAGACTCATACTCCAACCAAGTACCATGCATGGAGTTAACCTAGAACCCCTGCACAGATGTAGCCCATGGCAGTTCAGTGTCCAAGTGGCTTCCATAGTAATGGGAAGAGGGACTGTCTCTGACAGGAACTGATTGGCCTGCTCTTTGATCACCTCCCTCTGAGGGGGAAGCAGCCTTACCAGGCCACAGAAGATGACAATGCAGCCACTCCTGATGTGATCTGATAGACTAGGATCAGAAGGAAGGAGAGGAGGACCTCCCCTATCAGTGGACTTGGGGAGGGGCATTCGTGAAGAAGAGGGTAGGAGGGTGGGATCGGGAGGGAAGGAGGGAGGGGCTTATGGGGGGGGATACAAAGTGAATAAAGTGTAATTAATAAAAATAAAAAATAATAAAAGAAATTATTTAGATTAGTACTGGTAGGAATATAGGCAAGAAGTTGTGTTTTTGTAGCTACAACACTTCCATAACTAGAGCTCATGAGCACCTGATCACTCAAAGCATTTTATGTATTATTATTGTTATTGTTATTATTATTACTTATTATTATTTTGTATTTTGAAATACAAGGAAGGTAATATTGCTGTAATGGGCAATTGTGTGGATCTCAGCCTTGAGCACCAGTAAATGAGAAGCAAGTTAATCATGTATTATGTGTAAAGTATTAATTAGCTGAATAAGATATTAACTTGGACATATATGGGTACCTTTAGAAATACGCACTCCAGGCTTCACAGGCATGAACACAAGCTGTGAAGCATGAACCCTTTGTTACTCTCGGAGCATGGTTAATCTGCCTCTAGCTTCTCAAATGCCTCCACAATATTTATTCCAGAAAAATCAGGGCAGATTTCAAATATTCTTTTGTGATGTCCATGGAGGCTTGTGAGGGAACAAAACAACTCGACGAAGTTTCTATTATTTCTATATAGTACTTCAGCTAGAATGTATGTAATGTACCTTATCTTGTTTTAGTAACAGTGCATATATCCTTGCTTCAGCCAAAACTTATGTTTCATTCTCCCACATCTTCATCTTATTTTGACTCTTACATGTTTCATGAAGTCACAGTCCTAGATGAAATCATGTTTTCCTCTCAGTTACTGCTGCCTCACACCCACCCACACACTAAATACCCGGGACACGGACTGCCAAATCCCTGTGTCTTCTGTCACCTTTGTCTGTCTTCTACTGACCAAGTGTCTCCTACACCTCACTCTCCAGACTTCAGGTCTCAGGGGCGGCTCAGAGCAGGGAAGCAGCCACAGTAAGGCAAAACTGCCCTCATGTTCAAATGCTCAGCATTCCTGTGTGGAAGGCCCAGGACTTGAGTGAGCTTCCTGAGACAGCAGCAGAAGTAGCCAGCAATGGTGAGAAGCCACATGGGCATTAGTTGAATT